CGGGAACAGGGTGAATCAAGTAACCCATTGCACACCTAGGGTCCCTGCTCCAGTACTTGGATTTGTTCTATAATTATTTAATTGAGGTGGTAATTAGGACTTTTTAGTAATTATTATTGCACAGGTTCGGCACCTGTCAATTTTTGGCGCCGTTGCCGGGGAGTTGGCATTTGGATTATTTGTTTCTTTTCAAATTTAGTTTTTATTTTATTTTTATTTTTATTTTATTTTATTTTATTTTTCTTGGTATTTTTGCTAGTTTATGCCCCGTTCTTCTCGCACAGGTGACTTGGTATACGATCCTGAGGTTGAGAAGGCAGCGCGTAGGCGGAGGCAAGAGACCAAGAGACAAAAAGAAAGGCACTTATTTGCTGCAGACGAGTCAGCGGAAGACGAAGTAAGCATGGCCAACACCCAAACATTGAGGGAACTGGCTGCCCCGGAGTTGACTCATCAGCCCTTATGCATCACATTCCCCACTTTGGCAGAGAATACTGCTTTCGAGCTGAAGTCGGGGTTGATTCACCTTCTACCTTCTTTCCATGGTCTCTCTGGCGAAGAACCCCACAAACATGTCAAGGAGTTCGAGGTAGTTTGCTCCAGCATGAAACCTCCTGGGGTCACTGAGGAGCAGATAAGACTTAGAGCTTTCCCCTTCTCTCTCAAGGATTGGCTATACTTAGAGCTTTATTTGATGGAAGATATTCTTGGAGTTTCAATGTTATGGTCAAGTTTATGGATTTTTAAATCTGTTATATTATTTGATTCTCAGATCTATATAAATCTATGTTATGATTGATGTATTTGCTGCCATTAGTACTAATATTGGAATGAAATTGTCTTGTTATATATATATATATATAATCGTGTTTGATGAAGCCTTTTCACATTCACCCATTATTAATTGAAGGCTTGAAGTTGCTCGCATTTTGGTATAACTTAATTGGCTTAACCTACTTTGGCTAATGGGTGCCCAATTTGACACTCATTTAGAGTTGTTTTCTGCATTAGTCTTTTTAAAAAATGTAGTTAATACGAAAAAGCATATAATACAAGGAGTACATTAATTGTGATTGTGTGTATTAACATAATAAGTTGTGCTTAATTTAAGTATGTCAACGAGTGCCCATAGTAAATACCGGATTAATATGTTTTGTCATATTTCTTTGAATTTCTTACTTCTAGCTAGTGATGACTCTAGATCTATATTAATGCTGAAGTTAGGCCTAAGAACAAATAAAACTTCCTCTCTGATCTTCAATTGAAAGCTGTTGTAGCATATCTGATTGAGGATTTATGAGCTACGGCCCAACCTTCTCAAATATTTTAGCAAAGAAAAATCTCGTGTGTTCTTTGTTCTGATTCTTGGCCCTGCTTCTTTATGCTTTGAGAAGCTGACCAAGAAGATTCTAAGAGAATGATGACTGAATTTAAGGGCTAACTACATTTTACACTCTTGAACTTGGGGCTGAGATGCAACACTTTATGCTTTTGAGCTTAAGATATACACACTTTGCTCGCTAAGGATGACTGTATAAAATGTTTAACACAAAGATTAGGTCCAAAAACTGAAAGAAATCACACTAATGCCCAGAAATGATAGCTATGTGGGTGGCATTTACCTTTAGGCAGGAATTTTGGGTGTCTGCTGGCACGCTCGGTGCACATGATTGAAAAGAAAGTACAAAATTATTAATTAATTTTGTAAGAAAGAAGCAAATCAATGGATAACCTTAAACAGTAAGAGCAACTCATGTGATGAAACGTGAGTTATTAATTAACCCAGAAAACAGGAAAAAAGGAAATTTGTTTAATTATGCACAAAAACCAAGTGTTGGGGCTTTTCTTTTTTTCTTTTTTCTTTTTTGTACTTTGCTAAATCTACTTTATATTGGATACGTTAGAGACCAGAGTTGTTCTCATAGAAACTTTAGGGACTACAATCGTGCTTGAGGACTAAATTTGTTTTTGTCAAAACTTTAAGGACTGGAGCTCCACAGGTGCTATATATAATGGTATTTCTTCCTTTTTTTTTTATTTTTGTAATGCTTAAAATACCCTTCCTCATACTGGTCATCTAATCTAATTTTTCTAATGCTTCTGTTCGAGTCCTACATGATTAGAGTTCTGTTTGAAGCAAATCCACATTTCAAGTTATTCTTCGCCAAACTTCATTCACCACAGTTCAGAATGTGGGGTACTCATTGATTATGCAAAGTTGAAAAGGCTCGATGCTCAACATCAACAATATCAAATTTTGAATTAACAAATAATTAGAAGCCTAATAGATTTTTGTATTGACTATTCACTTAATATACGTCTCTAGCTAACAGATTAAGGTGTGCGTTAAGGCCAAATTATGTTCTAATTAGTTCATCTTTCAAGGATTAACGAATGAATGAAATATATGTTAAGCAAACAGCAAATGTAAAGATGAAGGCCCCAACAAGAAAGTTAAAGTGAAAATCCCATGCGAGGAATTTCCATTTCAAAGCATCCAAGGAATTTAAAGTGAAGATGCCGAGCAAGGAATATATATTTCCATTGCGAAGGAAGGCATCAAAGTCAAGAATAACTCTGCATTTCAAAGCATCCAAGAAATTTAAAGCGAAGATGCCAAGCAAGGAATATATATTTCCATTGCAAAGGAAGGCATCAAAGTTAATAATAACTCTGCACTTTTAAGCGACCAAATATCAATGCTCTTCTCTCTACCCTTTTGTGTATGGATAGTTTTTACATTATTGCAATTTTTATATTAACCATAAACATAGTTACATATTCCTACTTAATTAAGTACGAAAAATTTAGCAATTTATTTATGCATCAACAGATATTCAATTTCCAGCAATATTAATAAATCTATCAGTTAATAGTTAAAGTTTTTTGACACTAAGTTAGTCCATATGGATAAAAAAAATTAAACAAATTTATCATATTGTTAGAAGAAAGAGGAACCATAAGAAAAAATAATTCAAATTTACCTAAAAAGATAAATTTTTTAGGACGAGAAAAATTAATTATAAAAGAATCGGATACAAAAATGGGGAAAACTCAAGTATCCAAATAACCGGTTAATTCCCCATCAATTTCCACCTTTTGAAGTCTTCTTTCGACAATCTTCTATTATCACAACTCGATTTAAGTTAAACTTGTGAACATATCATAGGCAAATAATTCAATTGTAAAAATTGAAATCCACAAGAACACGCTCATTTCCCCCTTCCCAAAACATCCCAATTCAGTCAAGTGTATAATCATAGTGTGAGCTAAAGGTCTATTTCACTTCTAACTTCAGTTGATTGTATATTGTACTCCAAAAAAAAAATAGTAATAAAGAAACTCCTTAAACTTTCACCACTTAAATTTTGTATACTGTACATGAACAAGACATTTTGACACAAAATGTTTGAATTTTTAAAGTGCTAGAAAGCTTGTGGAATTACGAGTGAACATTTTGGCGATTTCACAAGTGTAAAAGCTAAGAAAGCACCCAACCATTGGCCAATTATGTCGCTACATGCCATACCTAATTGCTAACTCCACTCCATGTTTTTGATAAGTGAACCACGGATTATTTTTTAAGTTTTCCCCCCACAAAATAACATTTTTAGTCTATTTCCCAAGGATTAATGGCTGAGGTAATTGATGTTGCAAAGTCACCAGCTATGGTTGTCATTTCCTCTTTCTCCTTTACATTTTTATCGGTCTTTATATTAATATTGCAAAGTCACCAGCTATGATTATCACCGGCTATGGTTTTTTTTCTTCTTTTTTTTTTTTTGCGGGGTCAGTCTTGGGTCAAACCACAACTCCGACAAACCATTGAGATGTTTTCCACAACCAAAGACCAGCCAGCTTTCAATCAGAAAAAGATGAAATAGAAGAGAAAAGGAAACTAGTATTTTTTCGTAAATATATTTCTCAATGATCTTTTTACCTCATATACATCAAATCTCTATAGTATATTTTTTTTACAAAAATTCCTAAAAATAGGAATTTAAATGGGACAAGTTGCGAGGAAAACTATTTAATTGGTGGTGAAATTTTGAATTCTTACATGCAAAGTGATGCGCAAACCAAAAAAGTATGGAACAATTCTGGAACTCAAATTGGAAAATGTTGCTTTAGGAAAGATTCAGAACATTCCACAAGAAACGGAAACTATATATTAGTAATAATTACTTCAAAAGAATTCTTATATACTGACACTTTCTGGATTATGCTGCGAGACAATAACGGAATTAAAGAGAGTTGATATAGAAAAGAAACACTAGAGGAAAGAAGAATTGAGGTTTGTGATAAATAAATGTCAAAGATATGAGCTTTAATTCTTTAAGTGCAAACTTGATAATGGCAAAATGAAATTCATCTTAAAGTACGTTGAATTCCCACAAGAGAGATTGAGAGACATCCAGTTTGAGGAGAAACCAATATACGCGTCAGCAAAAGCTAAAGAAAAAAGTTAGAAAAGTAATAAAAGAATCAACTAGAAAAAGAAAGTAATAAGAAATAATATAACAAAAAAGATTAATACCGATCTGAATTAAAGACTATCAGATTTTAAAGAGAGGAGTAGAAGGCTAGGGATTTCATACCGATCATTTTTTATTTTTTATTTTTTATTTTTTTGTCAACACAGGGGTGTCCGGGTCAAGACCCGAAGGCGGCCCGACTAATCCCCTGCGCCTGGAATACAGCGCCACCCCAATTGCACTCAGGCGTTAAGTGAGGTTCGATCCCACGACCTGCGAGTACAAAAGGTAAAGTGTAATATACCGATCATGTAATATACTTGAAACGCTAAAGTACAAAAGGTAATTTAAAATCTCAAGCCTGATTACGAAGCCAAGAAGCAAAATGCATCATAGGCAGTGCGAAAACAGAGAAGAACATTTATTATTGCTTCCCAGTGTGGTCGCTTCCCAAAACCGAACAAAATTCAGACCAAATTACTGTATGTCATAAATTCATTTTCCAAGGATTTAACAATAATGACAAGCATGTAACCAAAACAGAATCTCACTCTCCTTTTTACGATTTGATCGTGGACAAAAACAAATATGGTCCACAACCCAAAATTCTGAAGGCCCCAGCATTTAATCAGAAAACATGGTGCCCCAACAACTACCAATAATTGAGAAAGTTACTCTGTAAACATGCCAATGCAAAAGCTTACAAATTTGTCAGAGAAGAACTCCACGTCTACGCGCAATAATTATTAATGCTCCTTTCTTCATAACCAATTATACTAGCCTAGATAAGATTACCAGTTCCTCGCTGCAAAAAACCTTCCATAAAAAAAAAACCATCTTGTTCTCAACACTGAATCCAAGGCAGCACCAATGGCTGACCCTGTTATCGGTGCCGCAAGTCAGGTCACCTTGGAAAGGGCACTGTCTCTTGCCTCTGATAGGATTGGTTTGCTAGTTGGGTTCAAGAAGGATGTGGCCAGCATGACACTTTCTCTCGGCTTTATCAAAGATGTCCTGGCTGATGCCGAGGAATGGCAAAACCAAAGCAGAGGAGTGCAACGATGGTTGAATAGTCTCGAGGAGGTGGCTTATGATGCTCAGAATGTGTTGGATGAGCTCCACTATGAATCTCTTCGTCACCAGGTGGAGTCCCGAAACCGACACAAGCTCAAGGTATGCTGCTTCTTCTCCTTCTCTAACATTAATATTGCTTTTCGCTGGAGAATGGCTTCTAAGGTCAGGGACGTCAAACTGAAGTTGAAGGAGAAAAATCAACAAGCCCGTGAGTTTAGACTGGACAGTAAGTCAGTCGTGCCTGCTGCCCTCCCTGCTGCTGTTGGAGACGCAAGAAATCGGCAGACTGACTCTGTTCTTGTTCGAATAATTGGAAGAGCCGATGATGAATCAAAGATAGTGAAGATATTGTTGAGCCCGTCTAAGAAGGTTGTTTCTGTTCTTCCCATAATTGGTATGGGAGGTCTAGGCAAAACAACTTTGGCTAAATCGATATACAACAATCAGCAAATTGACGGGCACTTTAACAAAAAGATTTGGGTTTGTGTATCGAAAAAAGTTCCAAGGGTGGAGCTTTTCAAACTCATTTTATTGCAATTGACGGGAGAAAAGGTTGACGGGGATGATAGGAATGTCATCGTTGGAAAAATTCAAAATCAACTAGGGGGAAAAAGATATTTCCTAGTCCTTGATGATGTGTGGGATGATGATGAGGCATTGTGGGATGACTTTTTCACCACCTTGAAGGGACTAAATCCAACTAATGGAAGCTGGTGTCTGGTCACTACTCGTCCAGGTCCAGTGGCGCAGTGTGTGTCTAGAGTTCTGAGGATGATGGAAAATGAAGCCTATCCATTAGGAAAACTACCTGATGATCATTGTTGGTCCATCGTAAAAGAAAAGGTAGTTGGAGATGAAGAAGAACCTGATGAACTAAAAGCAATTAAAGAGAGAGTAATCGAAAGATGTGACGGTCTGCCATTGGCTGCAAGTGTAATCGGAGGTCTATTATCTTTAAAGAGAAAAGAGGAGTGGCGATCAATTTTGGAGAATAGGCTTTTGAGTTTGAGTGCAGGTGGAGATCATGTGATGCAAATACTCAAGTTGAGTTTTGATAATTTGCCATCACCAGCCGTCAAGAAATGTTTTGCATATTGTTCTATTTTTCCCCAGGATACTGAGATGGAAGGAGATATGCTGATCGAACTTTGGATGGCAGAAGGTTTCCTCCATGCAGGTCTCGAGAACAAAACAATGGAGGAAATTGGAGAGTATTACTTGGAAATTTTATTGCAGAGTTCTTTGCTGGAAGAAATAAGAAAATATTGGGGAAGGTGTTATAAAATGCATGATATGGTGCACAACCTTGCCGAGTCAATGTCAAAGTCTACCAAAGTCATTATTGATAGGGATACACATACAGTAGACAATGGTAATCAGATTCGTTACCTTGCAATAGACTTGTCTAGTGGTCGAGAAGACGGAGAAAAACTTTTGGAGAGTCTATCAACTTCGCTTCATACATTGTTTGTAAAAGGTGACTTATCTGGTGATATGTTAATGAAGTTGAAGAACTTGTATGTTTTGAATTTGTCTCGTACAAGAACTCGAGAGCTACCAGTCTCAATTGGCAAACTGATACATTTGCGGTACGTTAACCTTGAGCAGTCTTCAATCAGTATTTTGCCGGACTCCCTTTGCAAGCTTTATAATCTGCAGACACTGACGCTAAGTCACTCGGGTGTTGAAGATCTTCCGAAGGGGATGTGCGATTTGGTTAGCTTGAGACATCTCCACTATAACACCAGTGATGAAGAATTTCAAATGCCGCTAGAGATGGGACGATTGACTTGCCTTCAGACGCTAGAGTTCTTTAAGGTGGGTCGAGAGAAGGGTCGGCGAATTGGAGAGCTTGGAAGCTTGAAGAACCTCAAAGGCGAATTGGAGATACGCAATCTTCAACTAGTAAAGGATAAGGAAGGAGTTGAGGAAGCAAAACTATCTGAAAAGGCAAATCTATTTCGGCTGAAACTTAAGTGGGCCCCTAATCGAGAAGGCGACAATTACAACGATGAAGATGTGTTAGATGGCCTTCGACCCCACCCAAATTTGGAGAAGTTGGTAATTAAGGATTTTATGGGCGATCAATTTCCACGATGGTTAATGCAATTGCCAACAACGCTCCCCAAGTTAGCGCGTTTGGAGTTTTATCGCTGCAACAGATGCAGAGAACTCCATCCCCTGCAAAACTTTACGTCTCTTAAAGAGCTGGTGATTTGGAGTTGTGATGGGTTGACGAATCTGCCAGGTGACATGCTACACTCTTGTGCCTCTCTCCAGCAGCTTCAGGTGATTGGTTGCGACAATCTTATCTCCTTTCCGCTTGATTTGCAACAAACGCCTTCTCTCTTGGAGCTGGAATTATACAGGTGTCCCAAACTAAAAACAAGCATGACGCCCAAAGGATTTGGTTTCCTAACCAGCTTAAGGAATCTTGCAATTGGTCCCTTCTTAGATGATCATGAAAATTCTTCAATTTACAATGAGTTTGATTGGTCTGGATTGATATCCTCCTCCTCCTCTTCATCATCTGCACTCCGTCGATTAGAATTAGCTGGGTTGCCACACATGGAGTCACTGCCACATCAGATCCAACACGTGACCACTCTCACGTCACTAATGCTAGAGGGCTTTGGAGGTGTAAAAGCTCTGCCAGATTGGTTCGGAAACCTCGCTGCTCTTGAAAAACTATATTTATTTGGTTTCAAAGAGCTTCGATGTCTACCCTCTGAGGATACCATGAGAACTCTCACCAAACTAAAACGTCTGGAGGTTTATGGTTCTCCTCTGTTAAAAGAAAGATGCACTCCTGAGAGCAGCGGCCCCGACTCCCAGTGGTCCAAAGTTTCTCACATTCAAGACCTAATCATAACCGGTTAATAACCACTCATCTTCAGATCAAATTCAATCGTGTAAGATTGCCTCCTACCTCCTTTCTTAATTTGCTTTACAATCAATCTCCCCTTCTCTTCACCTCCCCCTCTGATTAACCTTCTCGTGAGAAAACCTAAAAAGTCCACATGGTTATTTTCGCAATTTTCTCTTCTCCCTTTTTATCGTCCTATTTATTATCTTTCAAAGCTGCGGCATTAGCATTTCGTATTAGGTCCAAAATATTGGTGCTCTTCATTTACTCCTTACAACATAATAGTAATACTCTTGTAATGTCATGGAGCAGCTGACAAGTAAATCAAGTAATAAAAGGAAGCGTGAAGATAGCAAAGAAGAAGGCGTGATCTAAGAGGAAGAAACCAAGGCGTGAATCAAGGACCACGCCTTTACTGGAAACCAACTCTGCAACCACGCGAAGGAAGCCATTGAAGTTCTGCAACAACTTTCAGTTTCGTGTAACCAAATTCACAGCCACTTGGCCACTTGGCCACTTGGACAAATGCGATTGGAGGACCAGATGTTAGTTATAGATTGATAGTTATAAATAGGGAATTAAGGGAACGTAGCAGGTAGGAATTTGTCTTGTAATTCAACAGAAGTGAGCATCAAATCTCATTCTGCTTTTTTCCTTCTTAAAATTTCCTTCATTCTCTTCCACCTTCTTATTGTTCCCGCCATTTCTGTATTCTTTTACAGATTAATAGAAGCCATTACTGAGCTCCATTCTTAGCTCGTTTTGTGTTTGAATTAATTTCATTGGCGTTCTGATTGTGATTTCGATTCCGAGAGCCAACATTCCTAATTAGCTCAAGTCTGGTACCATTACAGTGGTATCAGAGCTAACTACGAGCCATTGGGATGACGAAAGCACAGGAGGAGCTGATAAGGAAGGACCTGACTGAGCTAGGGAGTGTTGTGAGGACGTTTGCTAACAAAAACGATGGATTGGAACAGGCGGTCAGGGCGATAGAGTATAGGCAGGAAGGCACGGAGAAGGCCATTAAAAACCTGGACCAGAAGTACGAGAGCATGATGTCGATGATGGCTCAAATGATGGCCAAATTGAATGAACCTGGGAGAAGGGATGAGGGAAGCAGTTCTGGGAATGAACAGAGGAAGGAACTGAGGAGGGAAAAAACTGAGAGGCAGGATCTTAGGGGGGGAACTAAGTTACCTAAGATTGATTTCCCTATGTTTGATGGGGGATAATCCTAGGGAATGGGTTAGGAGAGCCAACAAGTACTTCCAGATCCAGGGAGTAGCTGAGGAGGTGAAGTCTGACTTGGCTCAACTTCACTTCAGAGATAAGGCGGACATCTGGTTCCATGGGAGGTACCATGGTAGGGAATATGTCGATTGGGAGGAGTTGTCCTTGGCAGTATGTGGAAGATTTGGAGGAGGCTCACCAGAGGAGACCATCGAGGAATTCAACAAACTCACGCAAACAGGGAGTGTTGCTGAATATCTGGAAAGATTCGAGCTACTAAAATCACTGGTAATGCCTATACTTCCTGGACAGACTGATTCATACTATAAATCCTGTTTTTTGAGTGGACTGAAGAGTGAAATCGTGAATATGGTAAAAATGGCTAAACCACACACCTTAACAGACACTATAGAAGTTGCCAAGTTACAGGAGAAAAATTTGGAGGCCATCAGAAGAGTACAGAAACCTATAACACAGAAATATTCCAGCCCGCAGCCAACCATTGGGCAGGGATTTCCATCCCAGACCAAACCTAAATGGACTAATGACAACTCCAGAAGGATAGGAAATGTTTTCCAAAAGGGGGACAGGCCGGGAGGACATGTAGCAGACCAGTATAAGAAAATTACTCCCTCAGAATTCAGTTATAGGAGGGAGAAAGGGCTGTGTTTCAAATGTGCAGAACCTTACACTTTAGGCCATGTTTGCAAACTAGCTCAGATGCAGTATATCTTGGTAGAAGAACCTGGGGGGGTGGATGATCACCATGAGGGAATGGGAAAGGTAGTAGAGGAGTTTTGTGATTGCCTTGAGGGAGAGGTAAGTCAGGAGCTCTTAGAAGTGTCCATTCATGCTCTGGCAGGAGGAACTGAACACAAAACTTTTAAAGTGAAAGGCAATATAGGGGGTAAAGAAGTCTTGATGTTGATAGATAGCGGAAGCACACACTGCTTCCTGGATGAAAGGCTAGCTACTCATCTGCAACTGCAGGTAACGGGTACTCCTTTGGTGGTTAAGGTAGCTAATGGGGAGAGATTGGGGTCCAGACAGCTCAATAAGCCACTAGAATGGGAGATCCAGGGACATAAATTTCAACATCACTTTAATACTCTAAGATTAGGGAGCTGTGATGCAGTATTAGGAGTGGACTGGTTGGCTAAATTTAGTCCTATCGAATTTGACTTCCGGGGCCTAAACATGAGGTTCCACAGAGGGAAGGAGCTGATAGAATTAAGGGGAGAAACTGGGAAGATCACACTCAAGGCTATCAAAGGGAGTAGGCTGGCCAAATGGAGGAGGAAACAGGAATATGGAATCACTGCTCAACTGTATTTAGTGGAGGAAGGGCAGGTTGACTCGCAGGGGATTCCAGCAGAGGTGAATGGAGTACTGGAGCAATACAGGGATGTGTTTGCTGAACCACAAGGGCTACCCCCCACCAGAAGCCATGACCATGGGATTCCTCTGAAGGAGGGAGCCAAACCTTTCCAGATTAGGCCATACAGGTGTCCTTATGTGCAGAAATCAGAAATAGAGCAACTGGTGAGAGAAATGCTGCAGATGGGAATAATCCAACCCAGTAATAGCTCGTTTGCTTCCCCAGTATTACTAGTCAAGAAGAAAGATGGCAGTTGGAGGTTCTGTGTGGACTACAGGCAGCTCAATGAGCTCACTGTGAAGGACAAATTTCCAATGCCCCTGATTGATGAACTGATGGATGAGCTGAGAGGAGCCAGATTCTTCACAAAAATTGACTTAAAGTCAGGATATCACCAGATCCGAGTCAGGGTGGAGGATAGGCATAAGACTGCCTTCAGGACTCACCAGGGGTTATATGAATTCAAAGTCATGCCATTTGGCTTGACTAATGCCCCGGCAACCTTTCAGAGTTTAATGAACCAGATTTTCAGTGAGCAGTTGAGAAGACATATTATAGTGTTCTTCGATGACATTCTGGTATATAGCTCATCCCTGGAAGACCATCTGAGGCACGTGGAGGAGACACTGAGCATCCTTAGACAACATCAGCTATATGCTAACAGAGGTAAGTGCTCTTTTGCACAAACACAAATAGAATATTTGGGACACATTATCACTGCAGAAGGAGTAATGGCTGACCCAAGGAAGGTGGACAGCATGGTGAACTGGCCCAAACCCAGAAATGTCAAGCAGCTGAAAGGGTTCTTGGGGCTGACTGGTTATTATAGGAAGTTTGTTAAAGGATATGGATCAATAGCTAAGCCACTCACCAACCTTCTGAAGAAGGGGGGATTTCACTGGGATGGGGAAGCTGAAGAAGCATTCCAGAAACTTAAGATGGCCATGTGTAGCACTCCTGTTTTGGCATTACCAGACTTCAGTAAACCTTTTGTTATAGAAACTGATGCTTGCTATGGAGGTTTAGGAGCAGTGCTAATGCAGGATAGAAGGCCTATTGCATATTTAAGTCAGAGTTTGGGACTCAAAAATTTGGGATTATCTATCTATGAGAAAGAACTCCTGGCTCTTGTAACAGCAGTCACCAAGTGGAGACATTACTTGGAAGGACACCATTTCATCATCAAGACAGACCATCAAAGCCTCAAATACTTGCTGGAGCAGAGAATCACTACCCCTCTCCAACAGAAGTGGCTGACCAAGCTACTAGGACTGAGCTACGAAATACAGTACAGAAAGGGCAAGGAGAATGTAGCTGCTGATGCTTTGTCTAGAAGGACTGATACAGAAGAAGGTGAACTTGTTGAGCTAACTTGTATCACTCCTGAATGGATGAAAGAGGTGATGGACAGTTACCAGGAGGATGAACAGATGCAGAAGCTGATCAGTGAATTATTACTCGCACCTGGTTCCAGACCAGAATATTCTTACCAGGATGGGGTGGCCAGGTATAAGGGAAGGATAGTCATAGGGGCCAAGGGGGGAATTAGAGGAAAGATCATCCATGCCCTGCACAACTCCCAGCTAGGAGGACATTCTGGAGTCCAAGCTAGTTACTACAGGGCCAAACAGCTGTTTTACTGGCCTGGAATGTACAAGGAGATCAGGGATACTGTATTACAATGTGATACTTGTAGGAAGTGCAAAGATGAACGTACAGCATACCCTGGCCTACTACAACCCCTCCCTATTCCTCACTACTCTTGGAGCCATATTACCATGGACTTCATTGAAGGACTGCCCAGCTCAGAAAGGAAGAATACTATCATGGTGATAGTGGACAGATTCACCAAATATGCCCACTTCATCAGTCTGGTACACCCCTTTGATGCCCCTACTGTAGCCAGGATCTTTCTAGATCAAGTCTACAAGCTGCATGGAATGCCTTTGAGCATGTTGTCTGACAGGGATAGAATTTTCACCAGTCAATTTTGGACAGAATTGTTCACCCTACTGGGGACAGAGTTACAGCTGAGCACTGCATATCATCCCCAAACTGATGGTCAAACGGAGAGAGTGAATCAAGTATTGGAGATGTACCTGAGGTGCATGACACATCTAGAGCCTAAGAAATGGAATGCTTGGCTATCCCTTGCTGAATGGTGGTATAACACCACTTACCACACTGCCATTCATATGAGCCCCTTCGAGGCACTATATGGAATCCCACCACCACAACTAGCCTTGGGGCCATATTCACACTCCAGGCTGGCTGCAGTAGAAGACCATTTGAAGGATAGGCAGCGGATGGATGCTTTACTCAAAAAGAACCTGCAGGAAGCTCAGAACAGAATGAAGATATATGCTGACCAAAAGAGGACTGAAAGAGAATTCAATGTTGGAGATTGGGTTTATCTGAGGTTGCAACCCTATAGACAGACATCAATCGAGGTAAGGAAGAATTCCAAACTTTCAGCAAAGTATTACGGGCCTTATCAGGTAGCTGAGAAGATAGGCAAGGTGGCCTATAGACTTCAGCTGCCAGCAGATTCCAGAATTCATCCAACTTTTCATGTCTCATTGCTCAAGAAGAAGGTAGGACAAAACGCTACACCAGTTCTCCAGCTACCCAACACGGATGAACTAGGACATTTGAGGGTCGAACCTGAAACTATTTTAGACAGGAGGCTGGTTAAAAGGAAAAATGCAGCCATAGTACAGTGGCTGGTACAGTGGTGGGGAACTTCACCTGCTAAAGCCACTTGGGAAGATGCAGAGGAGATAGGACGAAAATTTCCTGGGTTTCAATCTTGAGGACAAGATTCAATCGAAGGGGGAACTATTGTCATGGAGCAGCTGACAAGTAAATCAAGTAATAAAAGGAAGCGTGAAGATAGCAAAGAAGAAGGCGTGATCTAAGAGGAAGAAACCAAGGCGTGAATCAAGGACCACGCCTTTACTGGAAACCAACTCTGCAACCACGCGAAGGAAGCCATTGAAGTTCTGCAACAACTTTCAGTTTCGTGTAACCAAATTCACAGCCACTTGGCCACTTGGCCACTTGGACAAATGCGATTGGAGGACCAGATGTTAGTTATAGATTGATAGTTATAAATAGGGAATTAAGGGAACGTAGCAGGTAGGAATT